TTGCTAACAACACTCATTGTTTTGCTACATGCGAAAAAACTTTTACGCTGGTTTTTGGAGGGAAAAAACGTTAATTGACTTTTCATGTATCAATCAAGTATGCAAGGTTTGTTATTCATTAGTTTGCGAAGTTTATAAAACCTCCTAAAATCCTACTAAATCCTTTTTTACATCGTGCTCATTTACTGCAGGAACCAATTGCCACCGAACAAGAGTGCCAGGAAATCGAAGTTAGCGAAAAAGAAGGGGAAAGCGAGGAAGTGCCTGAAGGGGATTTCGCCGTAGCTGAGGATATCACACAACTCAGTGAATCTGAAACCGCTGAGCAGCAAGCTGAAGCTGATTTGGAGACAGCTGTAGAGCAGGAAGAGCAACTTATGGATTCACTGCTGATCAGTCGCGATACAGAAATATTCGAGAATAAGCAGGAGATGACGGATACGACGCGACAACATCATGACATGTTCGAAAGTCGCGAATCGCAGCGAGAACAGGCAGAAATAGAGCAGCGTAGTGAAGCTGCTGTTCGAGATAATGGACAGATAGGATCTGTTGAGGTTTGTCTCAGTCTTAACTATGAACTTTCAGGTTTTGAAGCGGGCTAAAGTAATGAAAATTATAATCGTTGCTGAACCTACTTATCTCAATTTACAACAAATAGCAATTGAATTAGATTTTTTTACTCGCTATAATCATACTTGACTTTTACCTAATCTCCTTTTTTCATGGGGACTTTCACATGGCAAAAAAACTCACCTCAAAAGTTCGTAATAACTCGCCTTCACTTAAACTGTAATAATTTTTTTTCTTCACAATGATATCATATCTTGTTCTTATGTTGATCAGAAGTTTGTTAGTTGCTGGTAAGCTTTCCAAAATTTTTTGCAGAATGTTTCTTGGAATTAATCGAGGTTTCCAGAAAGTAGTTCTATTTTGGAAAAATTGCATTTGTACAATAATGCTAACTTTACTTTTTGTCAATGTTGAAAATGACAAGGAAGTCAATAAGCTGATAAGGAAAAATATTCTCATGACTTCCTCGTATCCAGACTTTCTGGTATGATTTATATGTAAGATCTAGAACTTAGATGCATTCTAAATGATTCTTTGTTCTTCTTCAGCTTAAAATCAAACTTTATGTTTCCACTTTTTTCTCATTCGCCCTGCGTGCATAGTGCAATTACAAACTTTTTTCGTTCGTTGTTATTCATACCAGTAAATGATGGATACCTTGCAAAGATCTGAGCAGTCATAGGATTAATGATCCTACAAAACCCACACATCCAGATGCGACAAAGTTTTGGCGCTTCCTACGCAAAGTAAAGAACAGTTGTCCTTATCTGACTCCCCCCTCATCATACCAGGTCTTTCAATCTGCTCATAGGGTTCTGACTTAAACAAAGTATCTTTACAGATCGGTAAAAGGCACCGCTCTATTG